GAGTGTAGAATTACTTCATAACATACCATAAATTTTCAAACTAAACACTGGAATTACTTCATAACAAGTGATTGTATTAGTGTTTTTTACTGTGTTAATGATATTGAAGTTCTATATACTGTGATGTGTTTGTGTGTTGTGTTCGTGCAGTCACTCGCTTGTTGTGTTAGTGTAACTACTTACTATTAATTGGCTTTAGTATTGTACTTACTATTACTTGGTCTTAGTATTGTGTTAGGTCGTGTTAGTGTTATATTTAATTATGTTAGTGGTATGTTAGTGTTGGGTAGGTTAGTTTCTCCATTGTACTTTGTGTTAGTGTTACATGTTGTTTGTGTTAGTTTCTTCTTTGTAGTGATTGTGCTAGGGTTAGTTTAGCAGTGACTAGATTGTTACGTTAGGTCTTGTGTGTTAGTATTACATTTAGTTCATTTTATCTTAGTGTTATGAATATATTGTGTTATTAGTTAGTCTTATTGTTGTAGTGGTATTTGTGAACTATGTAGTCTTTAGTTTAGTCTTTGTTAATCACTATGTTGTGTTAGTGTTGTCTTTGTTAATCAATATGGTAAAGTTTTTCTGCCTCAATTCTTCATGTCTTTATTAGATCCGTTGTGACATTTTCAATTTTCTTATTCGATTTGACAGATTCACGTATATAAATATCATAATAACTAATACGAGTATTCACACATCCTATCCCTAACCCTTACCCAATGGCGCGAATTGTTGATAAAAGGGAAAACGATGTGAGTATCATTGATCAGATGATATCCTCTTTTTATTCATGTAATCTTCTAGCAAACGTGAGTTTTGGTTCTTTCTAGGTATATGTTCTTTTTTTATTCATTTAATATTATTTCTCTTTAACTATGCAACTCCCAAAAATTCATATAAAAAGAGACTTCTAACTTTCTCTGTTTCCATTTTTCTACAATATATTTTTCTTTGAAATTTGTGGGTTCAAATTGTCAATAAATTTTGGTTTTGCTGGATNTAATTAATATTTGATAAGCAGAAGANATNTAGGTNAGCAAATAACAGTTCTNAGCATCGATATACGCAAGTATACAATCCATAGTGCGCAGATGTATGATGCTCGGCCAAAATAATTGATGCACAAAGCCTCAAGACCACAATGGATCTGCTCTTCTTACTCAACCACCACTTTCTTGGTACATTCGTGGGATTACAATCAAGACCATAAATTATATGATCGAAGATCTTCTCGGTGAAGCTGCAAGAATCCGAGGAGGAGGCTAGGATGATGATTAAGGTGAAATGGACATTATTAAGTATATTTAGCAATCGGAGGAGTATGTAAAAGAGTTTGTGATTTTAGACTTTCTTGGTCTTCTGGTATTTGGATTATTTTCCTAATAATAATTGGAGAAAAGTGATTGTTTCACATCAAAAACTTCATTGCTATTTAATAGAAGGATCTTGAAAAGTTTCCCAAAATTCATATCAAAAGCCAAAAGGGATCCTCTGTTTTGTACCGCTAATAACGACTATAGCTCTTAAAAGAAAAAAGGGTCAATAATATTTTAGAATGGAAAGACGAACCTAAATTCCAAATATTGACGAAAACAAATGAGTGTTCTCACACTTGGCATAAATGTGGCTATTTTTTTTCTCTTCGAGCTCGGGTAGGTCTAGCCTATACGCCAAGAACTCACGAGAATGGAACAAAACTTCCAAGTAGAATTGGGTGTATTTCCTGGATTTGGTGCTTTGATCAATCAAAACATTCAACTAACTCTCTCAAGGAAGCCAAATCG